TTGTCTCTTCCTCCATAGCCCTTCCCAGGAACTGGTGTGGTTTCAGCACTGCTCTGTGTCCCTGGGGTGTTCTGGGTTGCTCCAGCAGCAAAAACGGTGATGGTTCATGACCGGGGCCCAGAAGGGCTGGTGGAAGTTGTCCTGCAAGACGTGGACACGGTTTTGGTGCAGCCAAAGCAGGGTTTGGCTACAGCAGCACCAACTTTGGTTCCAGGCTGGGCAGAGCCTCCTAGCCCTGCACCATCACCCCCTGCACCATCACTCCCTGAACCATCACACCCTGAACCATCACTTTCAGCACCCCCATCACCATCACCCCCAATCACCATCACACCCTGAACCATCACACCCTGCACCACCACACCCTGAACCATCACTTTCAGCACCCCCATCACCATCACCCCCTGCACCATCACTCCCTGCACCATTGCCCCTGCACCATCACCCCCTGCACCATCACACCCTGCACCATCGCCCCCTGCACCATCACACCCTGAACCATCACACCCTGCACCATCACACCCTGAACCATCACACCCTGCACCATCACACCCTGAACCATCACTTTCTGCACCCCCATCACCATCACCCCCATCACCATCGCCCCCTGAGCTGTGGAGACAGACGGGCATGCCAGACCTCTACTTTGGAGAGATGTCTCTTAAATGGGCCGTGACAAGATCATCTCAACCCTCCTGGACTGAGAAATCTTGGTGGTCATGGGGAGTTCCCAGCATGCTTTGGAGCCTATGTAGATTCTTTGTAACCCATTGGGTTTTCCCCCTTTTCCCCATACCACTTTTCCCCCACTTTTCCCCATAAAACCCCTGCTTCTGTCCTGTTCAAGAGGGAGCTGTCAGCCCTGGCCTCATTTGCAGGGTGGTGGAATAAAGAAACTCTGGAATAACCACATGGTGCTCATGTCCCTTTGACCCTGTGTTGGCCTGGGGACACCTCGCAAGGCAGAACTGAAGTCACCAAGAGCTGAAATCACTGCTAAGAGCTGACCTCCCTGCCCCTTGCTGAGGTTACCGGTGGCTGAAGAAGGTTGCAGTGTCTGGGTCGAGCAATCTGACCCCCGACCAGCTGTCACAATGCTGAACCACCACCCCCATCACCACCACCACCACCATCACACCCTGAACCATCACACCGTGAGCCATCACACCCTGAACCATCCCCACCCCAGAGCTGCTGCTCTGCCCAGAGCTCCATCCCCATGTGCAGATGGTGAAGTACCAAGAGAAGGAGCAGCTCAAGACCCTCAACAACGGATTCGCTTCACTCACTGACCAGGTGAGCTGAGAACCTCCCCCAGCTCCAGGTCCCAGCGTCAACCAAGGGAGGTTTTGGGCATGGACAGGGCATGGAAAGGGCACAGACAGGGTATGGAAAGGGCACAGAAAGGGCACGGAAAGGGACATCCTGGCAGGACAACTCATTAGAGACATCAAGGGAATTTGCACAATCTGTCAGGGGAAAACCTTGGGATTTACGAGGCCTCAGTGTCCAGGCACTGGTGCTCTGACCTCTGGACCTGACTGGGGCAGGGAACAAGCTAAAACCAGTTCCAGCTGCCCTCCAGTCCCCTCTCGGGCCTCTCTGCACAGACCAAATTTGTTGCAGAGCTGGTTTTGAGAATCTCTTTGGTTTTTTGTGCATTTCCACACGGGTGCCCCCAAACAAAAGCTGTTGGATTGGGAAACTCTGCTGGGTGTGCCAAGAGCAGGAACACATCCCACTGCCAGGGCATCAGCACTTTGCCATGGGTTACCTGGGAAAAGACCTACAGGGATCATCCTGGCACTGCACAGGCTCCTCAAAATCCCACCCCGTGCCAAAGGGCATTGTCCAAACATTCCTGGAGCTCTGGCAGCCCTGGGGTTGTGACCATTCCCTTGGGAGCCTGTTCAGAGCCCGACCACCCTCTGGGGAAGAGCCTTTTCCTGATATCCAGCTTGACCCTCCCCCGGCACAGCTCCAGCCATTCCCTGGGTCCTGTCCCTGGTCCCCAGAGCAGAGATTGGAGCTGTCCCTCGGGATGAAGCTGCAGCCCCCGAGGAGTCTCACCTCAGTTTTGTCCTCCCCATCAGACAAACCAAGTGACCTCAGCTGCTCCTCATGGGGGCCCTCCAGACCCTTCACCACCATCGTCACAATCCTCACCCCATTTCCCATTTTCCTTTCTGGGATTCAGGTTTGGATCCTGGAGCAGCAGAAGAAGGTGCTGAAGACCAAGTGCAGCTTCCTGCAGAGTCACAGCACAGCATCAAGGCTGTGCTCAGGGCATTTATCTGGAATTTGAGGGAGAACCTGGGAGCCCTCAGGAGCAGCAGAGCCCAGTTACAGAGCCTGGGAGGCCTGAGAGCAGCAAAGCAGGGTTGGGAAACCAAGAGGAAAATGTGAGTAAAAACCAGAGAAATGCAACTTCAGAGCTCAAAATGTTGCTTGAAATTTGTGAACAGGCAGAAACACTGGACTTTTTGGGGTAGCAAATGGTTCCCAGAGACCTTGTAGGTGAAGATTAAATAGATTCACCTCCAGTAGATCCCCATGGTGGAGGTGAAGAAGATGGAAAGATCTCCCAGGATCTCAGTACAGAAAGTGACATCCACATTTACAGACACATGGAGCAAGCAGAATATCCCTCTTCTACATTTGCTTTCCCTCCTTCCTGACTCAGAAATTCAGATTTCCAAGTGTTCAGCAGCTATTTGAGGTCACACAGAAGCAGTTCTGCAGCAGAAACCTCTCTGAAAACACATTTTTTTCCCACAGGCTACAAAAGAAGAGTAAGGTATCCCAAAACGTGCTCTGGGGAGAGGGAAAAAAGAATCAGAGTTTCATTTGTTTCACTTGTAGCCTGAAGGAACTCAAAGAATGAGGGAATTGTGCTGAACTCCAGCAAAACCCCCCATTTTCCCACACAGGTCCAGGGATGAACAGAGCGTGCAGACACATGCCCAGGAGGAGCTACTTGTCCTAAGGAAGGTGAGCAAGGGACTCACCAGCTGAACTTTCCCCAGCTGGTGCGGGATTTTGGGTGATTGTGGTGGCTTCTTTCCCCAAGGCAGCACAGGAAGCAAGTACAAGCAGAACCTGGGTTTGCTCAAACTCCAATGCGACCCCAGATCCCCGGAGCTGGAGCACGGTCACAGCACCGACCCTGAGGGCAGCCCTGAGTCTGCTCTCCCTCCTCAAATTCCTCTTTCCATCCCCAAGGCATCGCCAGAACACAGTTCTCTTGGCCAAAGCTGAGCTGGAAGCCAAGGTGGAAAGGCTGAAAGAAGAGGGTGAATTCCTGAGAACGTTCTACAGAGAGGTGAGAGGCTTCCCCAGTGCTCCAGCAGTAATTCCCATTTCCCAGCTGGATTTGGAAGCTGGTTATCCTGGGGGAGCAGGGCGCGGCCCCGGGCTCAGGGCGTTTCACTGTGAAATGGTCACCGCAAAGGGGGACCCAGCTGGACATGGGGGGTGGCACCAGTGTGGGGCTGGACTGGGCGCACAGCAGGGACAGCCATGTCCCCAACAGGGACAGCCACATCCCCACCAGAGACAGCCCGTGTCCCCACCAGGGACGGACAGCCCGTGTCCCCACCAGGGACAGCCATGTCCCCAACAGGAACAGCCCGTGTCCCCACCAGGGACAGCCCGTGTCCCCACCAGGGACAGCCATGTCCCCAACAGGAACAGCCCATGTCCCCACCAGGGACAGCCCGTGTCCCCACCAGGGACAGCCATGTCCCCAACAGGAACAGCCCGTGTCCCCACCAGGGACAGCCATGTCCCCAACAGGAACAGCCCATGTCCCCACCAGGGACAGCCCGTGTCCCCACCAGGGACAGCCATGTCCCCAACAGGAACAGCCCGTGTCCCCACCAGGAGCTCCACCAGCTGCAGGCCCAGGTCCCAGACACTTCTGTGAGGGGCAGCAGCCGAAATCCACACCTGGATGGAACCATCGAGGGCGTCAGGGCCTGGCACAGGGAGCGTCTGCAGGAGCTGGGCACGAGCCCAGGCCTGGCAGGAAAACAAAGTGAGGGCACCTGGAAAGGGTGGGGTGGGGCCCCCCTCTCTTCAGGCCAACTTCAATCCCAGAGAAACACCCCCCACTCCCTGATCTGCTCTGGAGTAACTCAAGATGTGTTTGAGAATACGCGACACCTTTTGAGCTGTCTTTGGGACAAGGAGCAGCCTTAAGTAGAGGGAGGGAAGATTTAGATGGGATATTGGGAAGAAATTCCTTCCTGTGAGGGTGGGGAGGCCCTGAAATGGATTTCCCAGAGCAGCTGTGGCTGCCCCTGGATCCCTGGCAGTGCCCAAGGCCAGGCTGGACAGGGCTGGGAGCAGCCTGGGACAGAGGGAGGTGTCCCTGCCCATGGCAGGGGTGGGATGGGATGAGCTTCCAACCCAAACCATTCCATGGTTGTGATTTTAGCTGGAGGGGTTGAGAGTCACTGCAGGCAGCAACCTGGGACAGCTCAGCTGGCACAGATGGTCCAGAGACTGGGGAGGAAATCAGGATCACCAGAGCCAGGTGGGAAATTGCGAGAACGAAGAACCAAGTGAGAAGCTGGGAGCACAATGGGCCAGGTGAGCACAGCCATGTGTGGGAATTACTGCAGGGAGGGCAGATTGGCTACTCCTGAGAATTCCACAGCCACCTTTCCTGATACTGCAGCAACTTGTAATCCACAAGGAAGAAGGGCTAAAATCCTGCTCCTCCCTCCCATTAAAACCAGATTCCATTTCAGTCCTGAGCTCAAACCATGACTCTGAACAAACTCCCCCCATCCCTCTGCCCAGAGTCCAGGCAGGCAAAATCCAGCCAGGAATGAGCTGTGCCGGCAGCAAACCCCAAAGCCTGCCCCTGCCCACAGCCCTGCTTCAGGTGACAGAGCCAGGGCAGGCTCCAGACCTGGCAGGAAGATGATTCCTGCGTATTTTCCAGAGCTCCTGAGCACCCAGGGCAGCACAAAGAACTTGGCTGAGATTGGACATGCAGCTAAAAGGGAAACTTTAATAAACGACTCATGAAAGACATAAAAAGCATAAAAATCCAACCCAAATGCCAATGCCAGGACAGGGCTGAACATCAACACAAAAACTGGGAGCAGGTCCTTGGAGTTAGTTCCCTAAAAACTCTTCCTACTGCAGTAACAACAATTTCCCTGGTATGTTGAAGACCCATTTTGGCAGGAACAAGGAGTTTTTGGAATGGGGCATCAACTGAACCCTCACTGCAGGAGACTCCAGATATCACTAAATACCCTTAAATAGGGAGTGGTAAACAGAGACACTCAAAAATAAGGAATTTATCTCCCAATTCAGTGGGACACATGGAATTTGAAGCAGTTTTAGATCCCGCAAGCTCTGGGCTTCATTTAAAGAGAGGGAAAGGGTTTAGGAGGTTTTTGAGGAGTTATTTTGCTACAAGGAGCCTGAAATCAATCTGTCAGTGCTGCCTTTGTCAGAAACAGCTTCAGTCACAGGAGAATGTTGAACCCCAACCCTGGGCCCATTTCCAAAGAAAATAAGGGGAGACCCAAGCTTGTTTTCTTCCTGGTATATTTAAAAAACCCAACCCAGGGTGAGCCCTTGGCAGGGGCTGAGGAGCCTGAGGGATTGGAGTCTTCCAACTCCTGTTAAGAGGGAGAGAATCTTCTAGTCTTTTGCAGAAGCACAGCAGAAATGTGGGATTTGCCTTTCCAAGGGTGAAATCCAGCCCGGAGCAGGGGGTACCAAGCACAAGGGTAACAGCAGGGATACCCCACCTGCATCCCGGGATAAATTTCACCCCACAGGCTTGATCCTGCTCCCAGAGGAATGGCTGAACTCCAAGAGTGCAGGATCAAGCCCGGCAGGGCAGGGCCAGGGCCTCAGCACTGCAGGCGTTTTGCAGCCAATTCATCCTGCAAAAGGCTCCAAGACTTTTCTTTCCACGGTTTCCCTCAGGTGCTGGGAATGCCAAGCTCCATTCTTGGAGTTACTTCCTGACGCTTCTCCGGCTGGACGAGGTGGTGGTGATGGTGTAGGACTTGGTGGAGCCTCCAGAGGAGAACCCGAGTGCTCCGCTGCCCATTCCCGATCCCAGGCTGAGGCCTCCTCCGATCCCTGCTCCCAGGAATCCACTGGAGCTGGAATATCCGCCCCCGCCACTGGAGCTGACCACGGCTGCGGTGGGAGAGGAGCAAGGGGAGTGTGAGCACCTGGAACCCCACCCAGCACCCTCAGGAAAGGCTCCCATGGGATCACAGAATGGGTTGGGTGGGAAGAACATTAAAGCCCACCCAGTGCCACCCCTGCCATGGCAGGGACACCTCCCACTCTCCCAGGCTGCTCCAAGCCCCCTCCAACCTGGCCTTGGGCACCGCCAGGGAGGGGCATCTTCCTGGAAATCCGTTCCAGGGCTTCCCCACCCTCACAGGGAAGAATTTCTTCCTAATATTCCATCTAAACATCCCCCTTTTCAGTTTAAAGTCCTTCCTTCTTGTCTTGTCACTCCCTCACCCAACCTGGTTCAGGATCCCCTGAGCTTGGAGCCCTCATGGAGAACCCCTAGAAAACCCCTGGAGAATCCCATTTCACAAACACACTCAGCTCATCTCCTGGTGGTTCCCCAATTCCCAGCAGGAATTAAGTGGCTGAAAATCAGAGCCACTGGTTTGGAGCATCCCTGAGAGAGCAGCTCCTGCCCAAGGTCCAGGCCAGGTGAGGATCCAACACTTCTCAAGCTAGAAAAGCACCCTCTGCCATCACCTGTGCACTAATTCCAACCTAGGGAATGCATTTCCCAATAGTGCTTTTCTATCCATACAAAAATGGGAGGAAAGGAAGATCAGTGCTGCCCCAAGTCCAATTTCATCTGGGTGAGTTGGAGCTGAGCTCAGGATGGAGCCCCAGCACCACCCCCAGCCTCAGGGTGCTCCGACTAAGGACGGGCTGAACTGGGTGAACTGGGACACTCTGAGCCACCTTTCCCATGGGTTTAGAATGAGGTGGAACCACGACAAACAACAAAATCCACTCACAGATGTTGACGTTGCCAACTCCATCCCCAGCCAACCTGAAAAGACAAAGGCAAGGGGAGGGATTAAACTCAGCTTTCCTTGGTCCTGAGGCTCGAGGAGGAGGACAGAGGCAGGGAGTTACTACTCCAACTGCACCTGATCCAGGGAGGATCCCTGGGCCCTCCAGGGCTTTGTTCCAGCCCTGCCTTTCCCAGCTTTGTTATTACCATTGGGGGGAGGACAGAGCACAGAGGTTCTGTCCTAATCCCACAGAGATTTCCACTTGGAAATGTTCTGCCACAGCATCAAACATGATGGAAACCAATTTTTTCCTTCTTTGCTTATCTTCCCCAAGTTTTTTTTTTTCCCCAGAATCTGCCAGTTTGGCTCTTCTGCCAAAGCATTTCCAGGACCAGAACTCAGTTTTTCAGAAGTTTCCTTGTCTGCATTTCCTTGTGGAAATCAGAATTGGGCTCTCACAGCGTCCCCAGGCAAAAGGCGCAAAGGGCTGGATCCTTCCCAGAGGAAGCACAGGGAATCTTTGCTCACCAAGCCCCCCAGGTGTCCTCACCTGCTCTCCTCGCCCTCCAGCAGCTTCCTGTAGGTCGCGATCTCGATGTCCAGGGCCAGCTTGACATTCATGAGCTCCTGGTACTCCCGGAGCTGCCGGGCCATGTCAGCCTTGGCTTTCTGCAGAGCAGCCTCCAGCTCCTCCAGCTTGGCCCTGGCGTCCTTGAGGGCCATCTCCCCACGCTCCTCGGCCTCGGCCACGGCCGCCTCCAGCTTCGCTCGCTGCAGGGACAGAGCGGCCACATCAGGGGGCTCCTGATCCCTGGGGGAGGATCCTGGGCTCCAAACCTCTGGCTCTGCTGCCCAGGCCCCCTTCGTGGATCTGGAGCTCAACTGGATCCCTGGGACTTCATCCCTACCTGGGGATGGTTTCTTGGGCAGTGGATGGAGATGGAAATTCATCTCCTTCCAAGGTCTCCCAGAAGGAAGACTAAGTTTTTCTCCACTGACTACACTTTTTTCAGGTGATCCTGAGCTTCCCACTCCCCCACATCTTACAGATCCATTGGGGTTCAGGAAAGTTCAGGTTTTCTCTGCTCCCTCTGTTTTTTCAGAGCTGGGCAGGCTCTGGCTGAGATGTGGGCAGGTGTGGGCTGGAGCACACCTGGAGCTACCAAACACCCAGCCCCACCCCAAGACCAGCCCTGTGGGGCCCCAGGGAACCCCAGCTATGCCCCCACAGCTCCCAGACCCCCATGTTTGGCACAAGGGGCTCCCAAGAGGCTTTTTGCTCCCATCCATTGTCCAAGGGAGCCCCACCAGGACAGCTCTTGGCTGGTGCCAGAGCCTCCCTGCCCTGAAACCAAATAATCCGGGATGAATCACCAGGTTTATCTGGAGCTTTGGGAGCTCCAGGCCAGGCCTGAGCCACGGCCCTGATAAGGCGATAAAACCCCAGTGAAAGCAAACAGAGCTCCCCAAATCTCTGTGTGTGTGCCCAAACATGGTGTTCCCTCCTGGGAAAGGGAGTGGACAATGATCCCAGGAACAGGAGGGCATTGTGTGGGGGCCCCTCTGTGCCCCAGGGGTGATTTCCACTTATCCTCTCCCAAATCCACCTTCCTGGCAGGATCATCCTGCTCCCAATGCTCCCCCTCCCCCAGCAGAACTAAAATCCTTCAGGATGAGCAGTGCAGCCGCCCCAGAATGGTTCTTACAGACCATGGAATTGTGAAGGTTGGAAAAAATCTCTGAAATCACGAAGTTCAAGGGGCTGTGTGACACTCAGACCCCTGAAACATCCCTAACATCACAGAATGTGCAGAGCTGGAAGGGACCCACAAGGACCACATGACAACCCTAAAAATCCCACTAACCCTGAAATTCAACACTTGAGTACTGTCCAAAGGTTCCTGGAGCTCTGGCAGCCTTGGGGCTGTAACCATTCCCTGGGGAGCCCCTGTTCAGTGCCAGACATCCTCTGGGGGAAGAAGCTTTTGCCAATATCCAAACTGACCCTCCCCAGACACAGCTCCAGCTCCTCCCTCAGATGCTGTTCCCAGTCCCCAGAGGGATCAGTGCCAGATCCCAGCTCCAAGGTCAGAGAAGACAGGAGAGGTGCAGCTCCTCACCTGGGCCTTGGCATTCTCAATCTCCCCCTGGATCCTCTGGATGGCCCTGTTGATCTCCGTGATCTCATTCTTGGTGTTCCTCAGGTCATCCCCGTGTTTCCCGGCTGTCACCTGCAGCGCCTCATACTGGGACAGAGCAGTGGGACACAAAGTGATGGGGTGAGGATGGCAGGGAATGAGCGGGATAGAGCCCCCCCACTCATGGCACAGGGGATACAGGTGCTGACAGAGCTGGAGATCATGGAATCATGGAATGGTTTGGCTTGGAAGGGACATTAAAGCCCATTCAGTGTCACTGCTGCCATGGGCAGGGGCACCTTCCACTGTCCCAGGGTACTCCAAGCCCCATCCAATCTGGCCTTGGACACTTCCAGGGATGGGGCAGCAACAGCTTCCCTGGGAAATCCATTCCAGAGCCTCCCCACCCTCACAGGGAGGAATTTCTTCCCAATATCCCATCCATCCCTGCCCCATCCTCACAGGGAGGAATTCCTTCCCAATACCCCATCCATCCCTGCCTCACCCTCACAGGGAGGAATTTCTTCCCAATACCCCATCCATCCCTGCCCCACCCTCACAGGGAAGCCATTCCCTTTGTCTCACACTTCAGGCCCTCTCCAGCTCTCCTGGATCCCCTTTAGGCACAGGAAGGGGCTCCAAGGCGTCCCTGGGTGCTTCTCCCCTCCCAGAGCTCACCTTGCTCTGGTACCAGGACTCGGCCTCGGCGCGGCTCCGGTTGGCGATCTCCTCGTACTGCGCCTTCACCTCGGCGATGATGCTGTTGAGGTCCAGGTTCCGGTTGTTGTCCATGGACAGCACCACCGAGGTGTCGGAGATCTGGGCCTGCAGCTCGTTCAGCTCCTGCAGGAAAAGCAAGCCGATTGATTAGTGAGGTTTCAGGGCCCCTCTTTTGGAAGCCAATTAAAGAGAGAATCCAAGGAGAGAAGGGAAAGGGAGGCAGGTAAGAATTCCACCAAAATAATTATTAATTAGGAGGGAAGCAACTTTGCAAAGCACAGAGCAACAACCAACAGCAGAGCTGGAGCTGTTTATCCTTACTTTGGCAGCAAAAGTGCTTATCCCACTGTTATCCCATTCCTTAGACAACACCCAGCTAGCTGCAGAACCTGGAGGGGTCAAATTCCAGCACCTCTCTCAAGGATGTGTGTCCAGCTCAGGTAATCCCTGCTCTTGCAAACAGTGGGGAGGAGGAAGGAGCCTGGAACAAGCAGCTTTCCTTCATTCCTGTCACACAGCACCACCTCCCCCAGCCACTCGTTTTCCTTGTTTTCATACAAACAGCATCCCAAATACAATGTCTGTCCCCTTATGTCTGCAATCCATCCATCCCACATCCCACACAGGGAGAAATCCGTGTGACAATCCACAGAATTCAGAGGAATCACTTCACTTGCAGGTATAGTTTTGCTTATGGAAGGAAAGACTCCATGAATCCATCACTTTCCCCAAGTTCATTTTCCCAGCCAGCATTCCCTGCTCTCCCCCTCTGAAGGAGCAGAAGGGTCCTCACCGCCTCATGGAAAGCCCTCAGGAAGTTGATCTCATCCGTCAGAGCATCAACCTTGGCCTCCAGCTCCACTTTGTTCATGTAGGCAGCATCCACATCCTGGAAAAATGAGGAATAACCCATGAGATTGTGGAGCTTTGCTGTCTGAGCCCACCCAGCCTCTGGTGGCTTCCAAAGGAGAGTTCCCCAAACCAGCTCCAAGTGTCCCAATGGCACCCCAGGGCCTACAGATCATCTCCCAGGGCATTGAACGCTGCTGGAGCGCAGATCCTGAGAGTCCTGGGGATCCTTGGATCCCTGTTTGCAAGTTCAGTGTCAGGTTGGACACGGAGACCTCAGGAAAGATCCCAAAGGAAGACCTGGCATCATCTCCAATAACCCCTGGGACCCAACAGCTCTTCCCTGCATGTGTGGAGACCTCAAGGCCTCCCCTGAGCTGCCTTTGGCTGGAATTCTGCCCCTCAGAGCTTCATCAGATCTGGAGTAAATTGTGAGTAGGGCAAAGAGTAAACTGTGAGTAGGGGCAAACAGGGGGAAGGGCTGCACACACTGATGATCAGTCCCAGGGAAGAGCCTTGGCTGCCCCATGCCTGGAAGGGTCCAAAGCTGGACGGGGCTTGGAGCACCCTGGGACACCATGGAAGGTGTCCCTGCCCATGGCAGGGGTGGGAATGGGGTGGAATTTAAGGTCCCTTCCCACCTAATGTGAGGATTCCCTGACCCACAATGATATTCACCTTCTTGAGCACCACAAACTCATTCTCGGCCGCCGTGCGCTTGTTGATCTCATCTTCGTACCTGCCAAACAAAAGGGATTTCTGTGAAATTAGAGCCTGGATAAAAGGAAAAACATCCCAGTGAAAGGTTATCCCAGTTCTCTTCTCTATCCCTCTATTTCTTGGGAGCCAGCCCAGCAATTCCCCAGGGCTGGTGCACCAGCGGTGTCACAGGTCTGCTCTGGATGAGCTGCTCCACACCACCACCACCTGAAAAGCATCCCCCTGCTCCCCCATAAATCCTTAAAATTCCCTGTGCTTCAGAAGATTCCTGCTCCTCTTTTGGGAGAGCCCAGGCTGTGCCCCCACTTTGTCACCAACCCTTCAGGGAGCAAATTCAAAGCGGGAGAGACACTAACAGATCCCACAGACTCCTCTGGGCTGATCCCAGCACCTGCTGGAGCTGCTTCCACTCTGCACTTCCCTACTCCAGACTGCTGGCAACATTTTGCAGGTGTTGAACATATGGCACTATCCTGGGAAGGGCCAAAGGTAAGTAATTACCCTCATTCTCCTCCAAAGCCTCACCAAATTCCAGTCTTGGTGACTCCCGATCTTTAGGTGTTCACCCTCAGATGAGGGTCTCACCTGGAAATCTCCAGGGGTTCACCTAAAGGTCTCCAGCAGACAAAAATCCCTCTCCATAGATTTTACAGGCCCACCACTGATTTGCAAACCTGGATCTTGGAGCCCACCTTGACCTGTCTGTGCACTCCCAACCTGCTCAAACATCCAGTCCCAACCTGCTCTGGGGATCTGGGAATCCTGAAAGCCATCCAAGGGGCAGAGCAGGAGGCACTTTGGCTGTTTGGGAATTGTTGCCAGGTGAAGGCAACAATTTACATGGGCCCTGCATGGCCAGAGCTGGAATTTGCCTTCCAAAGCAGGAGCTGCTTCACCTGCTCAGCCTCCCTGCCCCTCCCTCCCGCTCCAACCTGGAATCGTGCCCATCCACACCAGGATCAATGGACGTTGCCCCTCTGGAGGTCACTGAGCTGCCAGTGCAATTCCAGAGGAATAAATCCCGGGAAGTGACGCAGAGGCACCACCTCCACACACAAGGGATCAGCAGAGAGAGGTAAAAACACTGAATTCCTCCAAAATGGATCATCAAATTCCTCATTTCCTTGGAGGCAGCTCCACTAAGCTGGTCAATGAGCTGGTAAAGCATGGAATATTGGAATGATTTGGGTTTGCAGACACCACAAAGCCCATCCCATTTCCACCCCTGCCATGGGCAGGGACACCTTCCACTGTCCCAGGCTGCTCCCAGCCCTGTCCAGCCTGGCCTTGGGCACTGCCAGGGATCCAGGGCAGCCACAGCTGCTCTGGGAAATCTATTCCAGGGCTTCCCCACCCCCACAGGGAGGAATTTCTTCCTAAATTGTCCAATATTGTCCCAACACCCTTCTGAAAGCCCAGGACACTCACTCCTTGGAACTGAGCCCCGTGGGCAGCATGACCCCAGCTGGCTCCACCCCCTCTCCCACTGCAATTCCTGAGTTAGGGGCTGGTGTCATCCCTGGAGCCTTTCCTCCCCTAAATATCACCTGGGAATTCCTGTGGAAACCAAACCTATGCGAAAGAGACCACAGGCACCCCCAGGGCACATCATGGTTTAGGTTTTCCATCTATAATTGAGATTTTCTCTACATAAATGGGGAGCAGCAGGTGCTGCATTCTAGTTACTGCATCCTCACTCCCTCGGCTCCTAATTCCTGCTTCCCTTCCCTTAGCACACAGAGGGTTTGGCTTCCATGGATCTGTAGGCTAAAGGAATAAATCCATGAGTCTGTGGACTGAATCCATGGGAAATGTAACTAAACTTTGGGGTTTAATCCCTCTGGCTGCAAACCAGCTCCTTGCAGAGATTCCAAGGCCAGCTGTGGATGGAATAACCAGGCAGGGCTGGGGGCAGCATCATTCCCAAGCAGCTCTTTGGGAATCTCTGGGTATTGACTCTCCCTAAACACACCCTGGGGATTATCAGCTCTGTTTGTTTGCAGTTCCTGCCTGATCCAGTTTGCCAGCTCCGTCCTATTCTTCCCTTCCCTTTTCAGAGGCATTTCCCAGCTGGGCTGGGCCGGGCTGGGCTGGGACAAAGGCCACCTTTCTTCTGGGGCTCCTCCCAGGTGACACTGAAAAGTCACTGAAGATTTGCAGGGCAGCTGCTCCGTTCCCTGCCCAGGGAATCAGCTGGGAACTCCCGTGGAGCTCTCGGGGCTGCAGCCACCCCAAAGAGCCACTTCTGACCCTGAGGAGGCCCCAAAGCACCATCTCCAACCCGGGGAGGCCCCAGAATGCCACCTTCAACCCTGAGGAAGCCCCAAAATGCCACTTCCAAGCCGGAGGAGGCCCCAAAGCAAAGCCAAGAGGATGGAGGCACCGGCCCATGTAGGAACAAGGTGCCAGAAACAACGAGCAAGAAGAATCCAGGCAGCTTCCCTGGACCAAACACCTCACTCCAGGCCAGAAAACATCTCCCTCCCTGGCAGGAGAGCCAGGGACATCCATGCCCAGCCACTGGCCCAGCCAGCAGCTCCACCACCCCGTTAGGGGGACTCTGATACTTTACTTGGTCTTGAAGTCCTCCACGAGGTCCTGCATGTTCTTGAGCTCTCCCTCGAGGCGCCCCTTGTCCGCCAGGAGCCCGTCCAGCTGCCGCCGCAGGTTGCTGATGTAGGTCTCGAACATGGGAGCGATGTTGCTCCGCGTGGTCTTCTGCTCCTGGAGGAGGCTCCACTTGGTCTCCAGCATCTTGTTCTGCTGCTCCAGGAACCGCACCTGGGAGGGAGCACAGGGGTCATTTGGGATGGTGGGAGAGAGGGGAGCTTACGCTGCAGGGATGGAAGGGCTGGGCTGCAGGTGGGAATCCCAGCCCAGGAATTTGGCGTTCGTGGGAAGCACCAGAGGAGGGTCGTGGAGACCATGCTAAAGAGCTTGGCTTCCATGCTAAAGAGCTTGGTTTGAGACTTTGAGGCTTTGGAGGAATTAAAGAAAAGCAGATTCTGCTGGGTTGACACTTGACAGAAACCTGCCCCAGACATCAAACCCTCCAACTGCTCCAACTCCAGGGCTGGATTCCTCACATTTCGGGGATTCCAGAGCAGGATTTACACAAGGTTAGTTAGTGCAAGAGAGCCAAGTTGTGCAGGGCAGCATAAACACCCAGGGCAGGCTCTGCTTCCATCTGCTCTCCTGGGACAGTCTCTGGTTCCATCTGCTCTCCTGAGACAACTCCCTCCAGGAGCCTCTCCCTCCCCAGATTTGGTGCTGGGGTGGGGGTGCAAAGCCTGCACCCCCATTTGGGCAATCCCAGATAAATCAGGGCTGCAAAGGCAGCCCAAGCAAGGCGACCTGTTCTGTTGGCAATGCCAGCAGTGCTTTAATACATCGAATAATAAGAATTATTTGATTGCAGTGGGCAAATCCCACCACATTCTCCAGGACTGATCCTCACCCCATTCGTGATTAAACCAATTTTGGGTCCCACCCACTGTTCAGCACCCCCAGAGCTCCGAGCCACTCCAAGCCCTCACCTTGTCAATGAAGGAGGCGAATTTGTTGTTCAGGGTCTTGATCTGCTCCTTCTCCTCCTTGCGGACCCTCTGGATGCTGGGGTCGATCTCCAGGTTGAGGGGCGTCAGGAGGCTCTGGTTGACGGTGACCTCCTGGATGCCGCCGGGGCTGAAGCTGCCCCCGAAGCCCGCTCCCCCATAGCCGTAGCCCGAGCGGACGCTGAAGGAGCTGCCCCCTCCCAGGCTGATCCTCTTGCTGGCCGAGCCCAGGTTGTAGAGGCTGGCGCTGCCGAAGCCGCCGGCGCGGCCGAGCCCGGAGCTGCGGCTGGAGGACACGGTGCTGACCCGCACCTGGCTCAGGGCTGGCCCGGCGGCCGAGCGGGAGCTGAAGGTCACCGAGCGGGACATGCTGCTCCGAGGGACGCTGCTGTGCCTCGCTCTGCAAAGCTCGGAGAGGCTGAGCTGGAGCCCAGGGGAGTGAGAGCGCTCCCGCTGCCTCCCCTTTTATCCGTTAGAAAAGCTGGGCTTGGCCCAAGGGCACCGCAGGGATCATTTTACTGCTCGGAGCTGGGTGTGCCTGGCTGCATTCCCACCCTCCAGCGGGGAAGGGAAGGGCCGCGGGGAAGGGACGGGACACACCTGGCGCCGTGTCCCCGCTCCTCTGCCACCTGTGCGCCGAGCCCTGGTCCCCGTTCCCTGCGGATTCCCCGTGCCCGCACGGGTGTTGCAATGGGCAGGGGGGGCACAGGGAATCCACATGGATTTGGAAGCGCTGCAGGCGGGTTCTCCCCTGGGCACGGCCCAAAGCTGATAAAGGGGCCCCGACGCCAGGTCCTGGCTGTTTAATATAAACCAGGGCACTGCCAGCACTACCCAGAGCCTGCCTGCCCAGGGGGATATGTTTGCCCTTCCCTCTCCTGCTAATCCCTCAAATAAATCCTTAAACCCGAGGTGTGTTCGGAGGGTTGCATCCCACCCAATATTTAGTCCACACTCAAAAGGAGACAGGATTAAAATCCTGGCTGAACGTTCTGGGTTCCTGCTTGAATTTTTGGAGTTCTATGAAGAAAAATCAGAGAAAAAAATTGGGTTTCAGGGTTTTCACCATTTGCAAATAGTTCCAGAGGGCCTCAACCCTTCACTATCAGGTCGTAAATTCCCCAGGAGATTTCAAAGTCTGGCCTGAAAGTGTCACCCTTCAGCTTTTCTGTCCCCAGGACAGGGAGATAAGGCTGGCTGCAAACTCAGCCTGCTCAAAATCCACCCGTCCTGCTCTGGAGGGAGAGGAGAAGCCTGGCTGCTGCAGGGAAATTCTCTTTTTGAAGAGGGAAAAGTGGGAATTCGATCCAGGAAGAGAGAGATGGGGCAGGATTCCTGCAGGATTCCTGCCAGCCCTGCACCTGGCTCAGCTCCCACCATCACAGGTTGGACTCTATGATCTCAGAGTCTTTTCCAGCCTAATTGATCCTGGGATTATAAAAAAAATCCATTGAGTGTAAACGAAGTAGAGTGTTACAGACATGTCCTGCACCTCCCCTGGGGCTGGAGGACAGGACAGGGACCTCTCCATCCATCCATCCATGCACAGCTGGGAGCAGGGCAGTGTCCAGCCTCACACAGCCAGGCTGCTCCTGAACAGTACCAAGATGCCCCAAGAAAGCAGGGCTGGAAGCTGAGTGTGGGACTGACACTCAGGCAACAATTCCCACACGGCTCTGGCTGTTAGCAGGCTGGATTCCAGCCTGGATCACCACACAGGGACTTCCACACAACACGAGAGGCTGGAGGAGGAGCAATCCAGGCAGGTGAAACCCAACCTTTTGCCACAAAGGCAAAGCTGCTCCCAGCAGCCTCCAGGAATCCCAGTTTGGCACTGGGGAGCTGGACTTCACCCTGGATTTGGGTGAGGGTGAGCCCGTCTTCAACCCAGGTCCAACCCTCCTTCCTGCACCACGAGCAATCCAGGTGGGAGCAGGAAGCCTCATCCCCTGCTTGCTGTTCCCAGTTTTGCTCCCTTCCCCCCCTGCCAGGTGGACATTCCCCGTTTGAGCCCAGGCTGAGGCCACGTGGCCACCAGAGGTATCCCAGGTTTGTTGTGTTGCTGTTCCATGGCAACCCGGGGTTGTTCCACAACTGCTCCGACCGGTAAATTCCTCCCAGCCCTAGTGAGTGACCCCAGGGGTTGGGGTTTGGTGACACCAAGCTCACTTTTGACTTTTTGGGGAAGTGATTTCCCTGCCTGCCATGCTGGGAGTCACATCCTCCCTGGCCCTGCACACCAAGGACTGGCTCTGACGCTCCCAGAGCAGCCAAACCCCCACAAACGACCAATCCCTCCATGAATCCTTGGGAAAACAAGCCAGGCTCGCAATTCCAGCTGGAAAGTGCCCCAAAAAAAAAATTTAACAAACTCAAATATTGTAACAGAAGAGGAAAACCTTTGCAGGTGAGTGAAACTATGTATTGGGAATGTGTTCTTGTGGGGTTTTCACACCTCCTGTGTTATCCCAGGGGATCCCTCCTGCTGCCTGCCTGGATTTCCATGTGTGGATTGAGAGCTTTTGGGAGCAGGAGTATCCATAGGTTCTGCTTGCACAGGCCCTGCTGGTGGCTCCTGATCCAAAGGGCTCTGGCCCTGGATCCCACATCTGTTGTTCCAACACCTGCCAATGCCTGCGTGGGGGGTGGATATGGGATATTGGGATCAACCTCCAGGCTCAGGGAGGCAGAAGGCTCTGGGGGATGGCAGCCTCCCAGATGGGGCACTCAGGGCTGTCAGAATCCCAGGATCACTGAGGCTGGAAATGCCCTCCCAGATCACGGAGGCCAAGCTGTGATCTATCCCCACCAGAGCCCTGAGTGCCACATTCTTTGGGGAGGGATGGGGACTCCACCACTGGAGTGCCTGAGCAGCCTCTCCTTGGAGAAATTCCTCATGACATCCCAAGAAATTCTCCTGATGTCCAATGGCACTGCCAAACTCTTATTCCTGCTAAACCCACCCAAAATCAATGGGAACACAACAGCACTTTTCCAAGACCCTGAAGATCTCCCCACAGTGCGAATCCAGATCCCCTTTCAGGATCACAGCAGCCTCATTAATCAAAATTTCCAGCTCATCATAATTCCTGTGAGTAGAGACTGTCAGAGGGAACTTGTTCTCCTGCATCCCAAAGGCAGGTGTTGGATGTCACCAGGCAGGAGTTGGCCTCGATGACCCTCAAGATCCAGCTCAGGATATTCCACAACTGGAGGATTATCAGGATGAGGTTTATCAGGTTTATCAGGATTTTATGGATTCCAGGCCCATTTCCTGTGTCACCAGGCCACAAAGTCAATGGAATGACGAAGCTCCAGCCCAGAGCCCGGCGACAGGGAGTGCCCTTTCCAGCCTGGCAACAGCTGCTGATCCGCAGGGATCGTCTGTTCCAAAGGTTGGTGCCTCCCTCCCGGCAGCGCTCGGGGCCCTCTGTCCCACTGGATGTCCTGTCAGTGGTGCCTGGTTTCATTTTCTGCCCCTGCCCAAGCAGTGCAGTGATTCCTGTGAGCCTGATGGGATTCCCCCATTGACGGGAATCATGGAATGGTTTGGGTTGGAAGGGACCTTAGGGTTTATCCAGTGCAATCCCCTGGCCTGGACAAGGACACCTTCCACCATCCCAGTCACACCCTCTGAGCTTTATCCCACACAAACAGAATGGGCCAAAATCCTCACATGCCATGAAGTGGCTTTTCTGAGGACCTGAATTCCCTGCCATGGCCTCTCCCTGCTCCAGAACCTTTGGCAAAGGCCAGTGGATTGTTCAGGCTGCAACTTCACATGGATTTACACGTGGAAACCTCATTTTCTTCCCTACTTCTCCAGCCCTGCAGTGGGACAGGAATCAGGGCTCTGCCAGAGGTGGCCAGTTCCAGGCTCACCCAAACAGCTCCAAGGCTTCCAGGAACTCCTCATCCAGGCATTCCTCATCCAGGCATTCCTCCTGCTGCAACACAGCAAAACCCAAATATGAATTATCACAGAGACCAGTAGGAACAGAATCATGGGATCATGGAATCATAGAATGGTTCGGGTGGCAAGGGTCCTTAAAGGTCATCCAGTGACACCCTTGCCATGGGCAGGGACACCTCCCACTTTCCTGGGCTGCTCCAAGCCCTGACCAGCCTGGCCTTGGACACTTCCAGGGATGGGACAGCCACAGCTCCTCTGGGAAATCCATTCCAAGGCCTCCCCAACCTCACAGGGAGGAAATTTTCCTAAACCATTCTTCATTCTCCATGAGCCCCAAGGTCCCTCGGGATGCCCAGGGCACTGTCTCAGCTTGCCTGGGGTGACAGAGCCAGCTCTGTGTTCCCAAGGCTTTCCACAAGCTCCTAATTCCCTCCAGGAGCTGCATTTCACCTCTCCTCTGGCTCTGCCCAGCCTGCTGAGGCTGGCAAGCTCTAGGCGCAGCTCTTGGCCACTCCTGGAAGCTGCTGGCCATGAAATCCATCCCTGGGAAACAGCTCTTGGAGCTCAGTGTTGCCCACCCTTGTCCTGTTTGCTGCCACCCAACAGGGCTATCAGCCAAAATCCTAAATGTTTGGATACAGCACAAAACCAGTCACCAGCACCGCCAGGAACTGGGTCCAGGGGCAGGACTCAGGGAGCAGCTGGACCATGCCAGGGAGGGCCAGCTTGGATATTGCGAAAAGGTTTCTCACGCAGAGGTGCTGGGCACTGCCCAGGTTCCCAGGAAGGGTGACAGCCCTGAGAGCTCCAGGAGCATTCAGACAGCATGCTCAGGATTGGGATTTTGGGACTGGGGGGATTTTGGGGTAACCTGTGCAGAGCCAGGACTTAGAATCTATGATCCTCATGGGTCTCTTCTATCTCAGGTTTTTCCATGATTCTGTGAACAACTTGGACCCCCCAAGGAATTCCTCCTGCTGGAATCTCTCCCTCCAGCCCCTTCTGGGTGCTCAGTGCAGCGATGAGGCTGCCCTCCTTCCATGGATGGAGCCCCACATTCCTCCTGTCCTCTTTTCAGAAGAGCTTTTCCACCCCCACTGCTCTGCCCACTGCCAGGAGCTCCTGGACACACCAGGAAACCCAGCCCAGAACGGGATCCTTCCCAGGGATCCTTCCTGGGGACATGGAACGTGGCCTCACAGACGGGGAAGGTGTAAAATCAGAGGGTTTTGGGAAAGCTGCAAAAGGCAGGCCTCAGCAACAGCAGAACTGCAGTTAGAGCTAAGCAGTAGCCCTAAGATTTGTCTGCAGAAAAGTTATGTGAGATGTAGAATGTAAGGACAAATAGAACAAAGATCTGTGTTGTTCTAATTAACACTTGGCTAGAATAACTCCCAAAGCTACAGAAAAGAGTATCTGGCAAGATATTAGGAAGCTCTAGGCTTAAAAACGGAGCTCTGTGTATTGTATTTTAATGCTTACAAGCAGGTATTGTATTTGAAACAAGCAAGCATTGTTTTAACCAAAGGTACGAGTGCTTGTAGTGGTTGGATAGAACTGCTGTCAATATGCTTTTGCTTTGTGTGATTGGTGAAAAAGCTTTTAAGTGAGTTGTAACATTGAGTTCTTCAGCTGCTGCTGAGGATGTGAGCTGCTGGCATCTTCCCATTGTCATAACCACGTAATGAGAGTGATGCTGGAAAACAAACAGCTTGAGATGCGTTCCTCAGCAGTGCCATCCCGTTTGTGATTTGTACACAGACCCCTGGCCAGCAACACCAGTATCCCATCTATGCACTTTCCCCCTCTCCAGCTCATTGGACAAGGGCCTAAAGATGTTTTTTCCCCTTTCCCCCAAATTACAAGATCATGTGATTACAAGAAAACCAGAAGGAATACGGATA